GCCCTTTATTTTCTTTTCTTGCCTAATTGTATTGGCTAGAACTTCCAGCACTATGTTGAATAGTAATGGTGACAGAAGACAACCTTGTCTGGTTCCAGTTCTATGTGGAAAATTTTTCAGTTTAACTCCATTCAGTAAAATATTTCTTGTGGGTTTGTCATAGATAGCTTCAATGGGTTTAAAGAAATAAACCACCTATGCCTAAACTCTTCAGTGTTCTAATTAAAAAAGGATGCTTGATTTTATGAAATACTTTTTCTGCATCTATTGAGAGGATCATATAGGCTTTGTTTTTACTTCTGTTGATATGGTGAATAATGTTTATGGATTTACATATATTAAACTAGCCTTGCATCCCTGGGATGAAACCTACTTGATCATGATGTATGACTTTTTTGATGATAAGCTGTAATCTATTGGCTAGGATTTTGTTGAAAATTTTTGCATCTATATTCATTAGTGAAATTGGTCTGAAGTTCTCCTTTTTAGTTGGGTCTTTTCCTGGTTTTGGTGTCAGGGTGATGTTTGCTTCATAGAACATGTTGGGGAAGATTCCTTCCTCCTCAATTTTTTGGAATAATTTCTGCAGTATGGGAATAAGCTTTTGAAAGATTTGATAGAATTCTGGTGTGAAGCCATCCAGACCAGGGATTTTTTTTTGTTGTTGGGAGTTTTTTTATTGTTTCTTTGATCTCAGTGCTTGAAATCGGTCTCTTCAGGAGCTCTGTGTCTTCCTGGCTAAGTCTAGGGAGAGAGTGTGATTCCAAATATTGATCCATTTCCTTCACATTGTCAAATTTCTGGGCATAAAGCTTCTGGTAGTATTCAGAGATGATCTCTTGTATCTCTGTGGCATCAGTTGTTCTTTCCCCTTTATCATTTCTGATTGAGGTTACTAGAGATTTTACTTTTTTATTTCTAGTTAGTCTGGCCAAAGGTTTATCTGTTTTATTTATTTTTTCAAAAAACCAACTCTGGCTTGGTGCCTGTGGCTCAAGCAGCTAAGGCACCAGCCACATACAC